TAATTTGTGCTCTAGGCTCTTTCAGATGCCCTAATCTCACTTCAAATGGTCTATCCTCGTCGGAACCTTTCAGCTGATCAGTGGAGAAATGCCCAGCTCTTGAGCCTCATCAGTGCTCCCAGCACAATGCTTAATCCTGCACAGTCAGACACAGTAGGTCACTCTTCGATTGATCTGCATTATACTTATGCCTTGAAACTAGAATTAATTAATTAAATTAATATAGTTATTTGTTTGGATATAAGATGTTATCCACCAACCTCTGTTATCCTTTGAATTCAGCTTTTTTTGTTGAGTTCATGTATTATGCCTAAATGTAGGTTAACATAAATTAATTGAGCTATTTGCATAACATCTTCTATCCAAACAAATAACTATATTAATTTAATAAGTCATGCTTCTATGGCAGGGGAGCATTCAGCCATGAGGCTGTTTAGTCCCCGGAAAACCCTCCCTTCTCCTTTTAACTAACTTTAATCTCTTGTCTCCTGTTAACATTTTTAACGTTTCTGTTTACTCTTTTGTATTTTAACATTTTATTGTACAGTGCCCAGAGTCCCTCATTGAGGGAGATGGGCAATAGAGAAATGGGATGGATGGATGGATGGACTTAAAAGCTTAAAATACTGGCTGAGATAGTGGCATGCTAAATCATAAACTATGCATTACTCTTTTAACTTATGGTTAAAAGATGCGGGATCTTATATTAACCCAGTTAATATAGTGGTCTGGTATCTGGGAATATTTAGCCGCCCCAAACACTGTAAGGTAGTACAATGGGGATTAAATCTATACAAACAAATTATTATTAATGCTGTGTATACATTAATTAATTTTCTACATTAGTGATTCTTCCCATATGTAAATTAAAAAGCAATCTACTGACCGACTGAAAGTCTGTCTATTCCAGTATAGAAGCATTCTGAAGGCTTACAAGTGGAAAGTTGGCAAGAGAATTCTCTTCTACTGTCTTTAGTTCAGGACATATCTGAACCTATCAAATTCTGCTACCAATGTTAGTAGGCATGGATAACCCTGCCCTAAAATAATATTGTCCAGTCCCTTTTTTAAAACCATGTAAATTAGTGAATATCACCAAATCAGATGATGGTGAATGTCTGTGGAGAGTCTCAATCTTCGAGGTCCTGGTTGACCAAGGATGCTTTTCCAAAAGGCAACTGGACTTTCTTGGGGTTTTTTTGTTTTATTTTATTTTATTTTATTTTTAAAAAAGTTTCGCTTCTCATTGAAGAAATGAAGTAGCTTCTTGGATGAGAAATGAAATGTTTTTTTAAGAAAGTCAAGAAAGTCCAATTGTCTTTTGGAAAAGCACCTTTGGGACAGATGGCAGTGAATTTTCCATATTTTAACCAGTCATTATGTAAAGGAGTATTGTTTTTGAATGTCTCCTATTAGTAGACGATCTCTGTGTTGTATAATTATGAGAGGGGAAGGTTTTTCCCATTATAGTTTTACATCATGAATGGATTTTATTTAACCTTATCATAATGGCAAGCACCGAATTAAGATGACTTTCTCATACAAGCTTCTATCTCTAGTTCTCTTTATTAATTTTATTGCAAGTCAGATTACACTTGGGCCATTAAGCATAGAATTGTAATTTTTATGTTGTGGATGTTAAAATTTTAAATTACAGAATCAGAGTAAATAACAAATTGTTAGGCTATAAATAGTGCTAGCTTAATTTTTTTCATTCCACATATCCTACGTACTGTGTTTATATATGCAATAAGTATATTTAGTTATGCTTCGTTGGACAGCACTGATCCATTAGAATTATGCCTGCGGCTATCGCAGTTGGCAAATTTGTGCTGATTAAGTCATTATATTCTCCCAAGGGACTCCCATGAGGATCATCACAAAGAAGTTAGCTCATCTTTAAATACAGGTTAGAAAGTATGTCTCTGAGCTGAAATTGAATAATAAGTCAGTCTCAATTCAATATTAATCGTCTTCACAATTCTAAGTCAGGAGAAGTGTATTTCAGGACAAATCAGAAGAAATCAAGAGTGTATTTATATGTAATTGTTAGATCATAACAACATGTGTACTTCTATTAAACTGAACACCTTCCTCCCTTCCCACTGCCTTGCAGAATTGTAGCTAAACAGTCCTGACACTACATTTTGAACATGCCAGTCCAGAACTAAGTAACTGTAACAGTCATTATATTTAAAACAAAATACAGATTAAGCCGTTTTAGCTTTATCTGTATTAAAAAATACAATTTAAACCATTTTTATAATCCTGAAATATCTGTACATTATATTTTCCTGAAAGGTTGCTTTTCTTTAAAATGTAAGTAGATGTTAGATGAAAATGAATCTTATATTAACTAGATTGCTGTTTTCCAGTGGTGATTAAAAATTGCTTTTTTAAACAGATGCCATGTGAATATCTCTCTCTGGATACAATGGAAAAATGGATAATTTGTAAGTTTAAATTTTACTGATTTGCTCGCAATTAAAGTTCTTTACCGTGATGTCACAGTATCGATATGTAAGAAATTGTTGAGAGAATAGAACAATTGTGCTATTCTCTACCCCAAAATATTCATGGTTTTAACCATACTTTTTAAGTACAGTGGCATAAAATAATGCTAAACAACATTTCATCTTCAGCTGATGTTTTAGACTTTTCAAATCCAGGTGACAATTTACTGGTAGTTAATTTTTATTGTGACATAAGATGAATGAGAGAAGTAATAGAAGGAAAAATGGAGTTCCGATTCCCGCTGCATTTTAAGCTGAACCATACTAGTAAAATAAAATCTGTGTACCACCGTCTTACAACCCAGCCCCAAACTGTACATCTTTCATGTCTAATAAATATGGACCAGAATCTGAATTAGTAGTTTCTTGGTTTCAAATTTTGGTCATGGCAGGTTTGGAAGTTGGACTTAGTCATAGAAAAGCTACACACTATTGCTAAAGACCAGTAGAGAGTTAAAATTGAGCCACACAACAATTCTCTTAGCTACACTGGCTGACACATTGGGTAGTATGAACATACTTGAAGCTTTAGTTCCAATTCCTTCCTTTTTTTAGGGTCAATCAGTGTTATCAGCTGCATGAACTCTTTAATTTTTCCAACTTTTAACATTTCTTATAGACATGACCCAAAAGAGTTCCATTTATATTAATGAGAAGAGAATCAAGAATGTGCTTAAATAGCTTCCCTGGGAATCAATGTTTAAAATGGCAAGCTTCTTTTTTATGTCAAAACTGAGGAACCAAAAGGAGATTTTATGGATACCTCTCTGAGAAATGAGTTCAGCTCAAGGACTAACAGGAGAAATCTACAAACAGAAAGTCACAAAAGACCTATCATTTGACATTTATTTATTTATTTGTTTGTTTGTTTGTTTGTTTGTTTAAATTTTTATCCCGCCCTTCTCCTTACGGACTCAGGGCGGCTGACAGCCTAGTAAAACAGATACAAAGATAAAAACACCCACTTTAAAACCTAATTAAAATGAAATATTTGATGTGGCCTATGTCAATTTAAAATTATTCTTAAAACCCCACTAAAAATTCCCCTAGGCCAATCCCGCTTNGAATGAGTGGTCATTAAGTGAGGACTGTGCAGTGATTATTTTAAATTATACAGGGATGTTAAAACAATTGTATCTTAAGATCAAGCAGGTTGAAGACGTATTAATTGGATGCAATAAAAAGTATGCATGATCTATTTTGTTTTTGTGGGTAGAATGTAAATGGATTTGAATCTTAGTATTTTGCTTCAATTCTTAATAATTATTTTTATAACTTCGTGATTTTCTTCCTCTCATCTTAAAGTTGGATTTATTTTGTGCCATGGAATCCTGAATAATGATACAACAGCTTTGACCCTTTGGAAACTTGCTCTTCAAAGCAGCTCTTGCTTGGCACTCTTTCGGGATGAAGTTTTTCATATTCATAAAGCAGCTGAAGATTTGTTTGTAAACATAAGAGGGTATGTTTTTTAAAAATTAGGTATGATAAAAATAGAAGAAAATCTAGATCATTCATCACTAAGAGATTGGTAGAAACAGCAGCATCTGTTATCTTTCACCTCACCCCACTCATTTGTAGCTTTATCATATTCAGATGTTTCATTATGATTTAATCCTGGTCGAGTCTTGTTAAGATGAAGCTAAGGTTGCCTTTAAAGTTATTTTAGAACTTAAGTTTAATTAGGGTCCATAATACGAATATCTGTTAGTAGTATTAACGGATTCAACACTCATGAAATTAGAAGGGAAGATCAGAGAAATTTGTCCACCCTATCCTTTAGGACCAGAGAGAATTACATCTATTGAAGTCTTAGGTACATGTTTCGATGTTCATTAATAGGCTTGATTTTACTTTAAATTTAGAGTATTCATAGCATTGAACCTGAAGAAAGGCATTACTAGTACATATTTAATTTGATAATTATTGAAGTACATAAATGTTTCATTGATCATAACTAGAAGGGGGTTCATTTAGTCCTCCCAGAAGGTTTTGGAGTTATATTTTTAAAGTTTCCTTTTCTTTCTAAGCTGCAAATTGTTTCTGAAATTGAAAAAATTAAATAAGACCAGCAGATAGACAGACAGACCTGGTTTCTATTATGCAAGAAGAATTGGATATATCTTGAAGTAATGCCTGGAGAGTTGCTGGTTCATGTCCTTAGAAGAGCCAAAAGAGAATTGACTGCTAGGGTAAATATTCTGATAAAGGGAAAAAACAAAAGCATTATGAGAATCAGAAAACAAAGGCCTCTAGAAACAGCAGGCACGAGTTGGAGTTATTTAACATCTAAAATTAAATCTTAATTTAAAATGTTCTTATTGCATGCCTTCTGGTTCTGCAAAGAAAAAGATACTTAAACTCTTTTTCTATTTCTGTTTTTTCTTTGTTTATATTGGATTTATATATATTAAATAAGTAAGGCTTTGGGCTTGACTTTTGTAACTGGAGTCACCGAAAATTTACATCACTATGTTTACACATTTTGTTTATATTTGCAGGTATAACAAGCGTATAAATGACATAAGAGAGTGCAAGGAAGCTGCTGTATCACATGCGTAAGTGTACTACAAAGTAACAATTTTAGAAGGCTGTTAATTATTCATACTCATCTAAATTTTATAGCTGTATCAGTAAAGTTAAGAGATAGATTTAGATCCTATTTCACAAAGTGAACGCCATTCCGGGTTTTTTTTTTTCTCCTTTCCTTTTCTTGCAGCTGCAGAACCACACAGTTCAGAAATGTTAGTTTGGGGGGGCAGGAATGTTTTCTTTTGTGGAACTTATTTCATGGGGGAGAATATTAATATGTCCCTTTGTTGGTGAACACAATTATCCTCTGGCTTTCCCACTGGATTGTTGAATCCAAGTATATGTTTTCTGTCATGCAGCTCACTCTATATGCTATCTTCCATAGTTGATCTGTTCTTGAATTGTATATTTTTGTTAAAATGCTTTAAGAGCAGAATTACAAAGTAGATGTTGTTAAACAATTCTAGAACTCTGTATCTGTAAAAAAAACATTAAAAGTAGTGTTAATTAATAGTAGGCTTTAATAGTAATAGTTAATTACTAATTAATAGTAATAGTTAATTAAAAGTAGTGTTATTAATAGTAGGCTTTAACATAAAAATAATTAGACTGCGGAATTATCAGTAGACCAGAGATTCCCAAACAACTTGAGATTTATTTCTGAAATGTAACATATTGGTAATGTTAATCATAACATTTGTATTTTTCAAACAGCGGTTCAATGCACAGAGAACGGCGCAAGTTTCTACGGTCTGCACTAAAAGAGCTAGCCACTGTCCTGTCAGATCAGCCAGGACTCTTAGGTCCTAAGGTAAATAAATGATGCTACCGGAAAAGAAATGTTTTCTTTCAGAATTACTAATTCTATTGCTTCGTCATTCTGGACCAGCGGTTCTCAACCTATGGGTCGCGACCCCATTTGGAGTCGATCGACCATTTCACAGGGGTTGCCAAGCAAGGCTGTCCGCCATTTTTTTTGTCTGCCATTTTTTTTTCGCCTTTTCCGGCGGGTGCCTTACCTCCCTTGGGCTGGGCCAGCTGGTGGTCGGCCTGCTCGGTCTCTGCCGCTTGCCAGCTACACCTCGGCCGGCGCAGGGGGCGGAACCACGTGCGGCGCTCCCAGGCAGGGAAAGTCCTCGACTTACGACCGGTTGGGTAGTCCTCGACTTACGACTGGTTTAGTCCTCAACTTATGACCAGTTTAATCCTCAACTTACGACCGGTTTAGTCCTCGACTTACGACTGGTTGGGGGTCGCGGCATTAAAAAGGTTGAGAACCACTGTTCTGGACAATTCAATTTGATATGCACACCTTCTTTAGAAATGAATCACATTAATAAATGTCTCTCTTTCTTTTCCAGGCCCTGTTTGTATTTATGGCACTATCCTTTGCTCGTGATGAAATTATTTGGCTGCTTCGACACGCAGATAATATGCCTAAGAAAAGCACGGATGATTTCATAGATAAGTAAGGCAATAGCTAGAATAACGGGGGGGGGGAAGGTTCATGTTTCTTGGCAGCTTATGATT